GACCAAACACAAAGTAAGGCTAGATTATCAAGCTTATACTAACTAAACACTAAGTAAAGAAAGTATAAGTTCGTGAAACACAAAGTAACACAAGAAATTCACAAAGAAAATCAGATTTTGTTGTTTTTAATCACTCTTGCCTAAAACGAATGGCAAGTGTTCTATTTATAGGAAGCTTTACAAGCCTTAAAGGAACTCTTCAACTTCCTAACTTACATGCCTAAAACAGAAGAAACAAGCTTCAATAAAAGCTTTGTAACTCCTTTTACATGCTTAAAAACAAAACTAAAAGCTAGGCATGATTCAAGCCTAGAATCACGCCTTTACCAGGCCACGAAAATGGCTGTTTATTTGAGGCCTTAATGGCAGCTATTACATGCATTCTTTGACAGAAAAAAATAACCCCCTAATCAAAGCTTTAAATGACTAAAACAAACAGCAAACAACTCATAATCATTCCCCACAAAAATCGCCATGAACCAAGCTTGTAACCCCCACTTAAATGTGGCTGTTTGAAACTCCTTGTGGCTGTTTGAAAGTCTTCTTGGATGCTCCTTTAACTGGTTACTTTGTCCCCTTTGTCCTCTTCCCATTTAAGGCAAGAAACAAAAGGATTCTTGGAAGAGAATCCCACGAAATTAGCATCCAAAGACTTGGACTTTTCGTGGATGAACAAAGCATGGACCGTAGCTTGAACTTCTTGGACTTTAGTTTGAACTTGATTGCTTGCTGCCATATCATGAAAACTTCAATGCTGGTAGCTGCATGTTTACCATCGCTACTGGTAAAGAATTTGTTGTTACTAGAAATGATATATGCGATGTGTTTTGCTTGCCTTTGAGTGATATTTGTGTTCCTGGACTTAATAAAAATTCTGAAAATGAAAGTGTAGATAAACGTATCATTCAGGCATGGAGATCTAATTATGGTCTTTCTGGTAAGAAACCTCTTCATTTGTCAAAATTGGAGTCTAGGATAGTTGATTTGGTTGATGGAGGGGAAGAATTTAAGAGGTGTTTTGTTCTTCAAGCTATGTGTAGCTTTTTAGCTCCTACTACTAATAGGACTGTTTCATTGAAGTTGCTGAAAGCTGTTGAAAAAGTTGATGAAATTAAAACTTTTGATTGGTGTTCATATGTTTTAAAAAAGTTAAAGAAGGCTGTTCAGAAGTATAAGGATGATGAAAATGCTCAAAATGTTAGTGGTTGTTTGCTGGCTTTGCAAATTATGTATTTTCATCGTCTAAATTTTCAAGGTGAAAAGGAAAGTAGTACTCTTCCTTTAATTCAACATTGGACGGATGTAAAGATTAAGAAGCGAATTAAGTTAGAGATCAAAGCTGGTGGTTATGGGCAGGGACCATTGGATACTATTACATATCCTGTGTCACAGTTTAATTTTAGGGGAACTGTTTTTAAGCCAGCTCCTACTTTGGGTTATGATAAGGGTCCTTCTACAAGTGGTACCACTGGTCGCATTGTTGCATTTGAGCTTCCAGAAGGTATTATGACCGATGAAGAAATTAAAAAAATTTCAACTGATGTAAGTGTTCTGTTTTCTTATATGTTTAGTTATTATTGCTTTTTGTTTACAAAAGTTATCCTTTTTGTGTACAAAAGTTACCCTTTTTGTGTACATAAGTTACCCTTTTTTGTGTACAAAAGTTACCGTTTTGTGTACAATAGTTACCCTTTTGTGTACAAAAGTTACCCTTTTTGTGTACCAAAGTTACCCTTTATTTGCACCGAAGTTACCCTTTAGTTGCATTAAAGTTATCTTCAATATTAAGTTAAAAGGGTTACTTTATTCATACAAAAGGGTAACTTTTTACATTTAAAAGGGTCAGTTTATGCATTTAAAAGGGTCACTTTTAGCATATATTTAGATTTCCTACTTATTTTATTATTTTTATTTGTAACATTTTTTTTTCATTGTTCATATGTTTGTAGGTTGTTCATGAAACGTTTCTTTTGTTTAAAATAAATATGGATGTTTTATTATTTGTTCAGTCAACTGGTTTTCAAACCTTGAATGATCTGATTACTTCTCGCAGAAGTGTTTCATTATCTTCTGATGATTTTGTTTCAGTTTCTCAAACTGAACTGCTACTCTCTGATCCTCATTATTTGAAGATTTTAGATGGTTTAATTGATGAGTGTAATAAAATGAAGTCTGTACATGATATGTTTCGCAGTTTTTATGAACCTACAGAAGGTAACAAAGATTTTGTTCCTGAAAAAGAACCTGCACAAGGTTTCAATGAAAATATTCCTAAGGATGATGACAATGGTCATGGAAAAAAGTTAATGAAGGCCTTAATGGTTCTGGACCTTCTGCTATCATTCCTGGTCCTACTCAAAATATTCCTGTCGGGCATATTGATCAAAATGAACCTCCTCGACTCAGAGCAAATAAATCTCTATGCTCTCTGGACTGTGGACATGTAGGTGTGCAGGTGCCTTTTGTAACTCTTTTTGTAAAGAGCAATGCTCGGATTTTCAAGAATTTGCCTCAGTTACATTTGGAAATTCTCGATTATTGTTTGCTGAAGGTTGTTTCAATGGATAGGAAGTTAAGTGTCCTTTTTTATTATAATTATTTTTTTATCTGTTTTTTTTCTTATATTTTTTTTAATGTTGATCTTATTTTTTATTGTTTCAGTGAAAGCCTTGTTACTTTTGGAATGAACTTTTTAATTCCAAGAGAAGACATGGTGTCCCTTGTTGCTCCACTCAGGATTCGATGGTGCGTTATTGATTGCTTCTGTCTGTATTTGAATGAGAAAGCATGTTTTCAGGCTACTGGTCCTCGGAAATTCTTCTTCGGTGTTAGGCAGAGTGTAAGTTATTTCATTCCTTTTTTTATATCTTAACACATTTACTTTATATATATATATTATTGAGATCTTATACTTTAATAGTTTTCATTCTTGCATGTTTGTGACAATATTGGCAAAGGTAACATATCTAGTGCTGTTAAGGATTTGCACGACATATGGGAAGGTTGGGTTAGCTATGAGAATCCAGAATGTAATATAATGGATGCTGATCTGGTATTTTTATTCTAAACTTAATGTAATAAATTTAAAAGAGTTCTCTTTATGATATGCTCTGTTTAAATCTCTTTAATTTTGTTGTTTCAGATCTATTTTCCTGTTCTTATTGAGAATCACTACATTTTGTATGTTATTGATCATACAAAAGAGTTGGTATATTATCTTGACAACATTATCTGGACTGATTCTGCTCTTGTTTATACAAAAGAATTGTGTTCAAAGATGGTATGTTTATGTTTGTTTTTTTTGTTATGTTACTGTTGATTCATTGTTTCCATTTTAACTTTTTTTATTTTAATGTATTCTAAACTTTTATATTTTATGTCAGTGTGTTCAAATGGGTGCTTTTCTTGGCAAAAGAAATCATCCAAAGAGTTCTCAGCTACCTTCTTATGGTTTTGAAGTTGTTGAGTTGGAATGGAGAAAAGAAAAAGTTGACAATTTGGACTGTGGGGTCTTTGTCATGTATCACATGCTCCATTTTTTTGGTGAATCGTTCAAATTCAATGATCTCAAAACAGTAATTATCTATATAGTTTATGTAGTTTTTTCCTTTCTAATGCTTTTATTAATTACATATTGATAATTTTTATTTTTTTTGCTGTTTTGAGATTAATGGAAGGAAATTTTTACGAGGAGAGATCTGTACCACACTGGTACTGTGTGATTTGAATGAATCTAGGAACGATGTGTTGTCAGAATTACACAAGTTCAATGAGAAGAAGAAAGATCATGCTTATGTCAATGGATTTGAAGAAAGATTAAAGGCTGCAATTGCTGCAAAGAAGAAGAGAGAAACAGAAGAAAGAAAAATGGCAGCAGAAGCAGAAGCAAAGGCAGAGGGAGAAGAGGAAAATAACAACGGAAAAAGGGCAAAAAAGCAGGCAAAAAAGTTTACTCCTTCTAAATAGTGAAATAATTGATAGTTGTTAGCTGATTAGTTCAGGGGGTTTTTTTAACAATGAAAAAACTTAATGTATGTGCATACATTAAGTTTAATGATATAATTAAACTTAGTTTAAAGTCTTTAGTTGTTTTTGGAATACTGATGTATGTGAATACATAAAGTAATTAAAAGGTTTATTTTTATGTTTTTTATGGGGTAACTTTTATGCAGAAAAGGGTAACTTTTATTTATAGAAAGGGTAACTTTTATTTATAGAAAGGGTAACTTTTAAGCAAGAAAAAGGTAGATTTTATTGTTAGAAATGGTAATTTTAGCAATGAAAAGGGTCACTTTTATGTAGAAAAAGGGTCACTTCTATTCATGAAAAGGGACACTTTTTTCTGTAAAATAAAAGGGTCAAGGGTTTTATGCATGAAAAGGATAACTTTTAGTGATAAAAAGGGTAACTTTTATTAACAGAAAGGGTAACTATTAGAAAAGAAAAGGTTGATTTAGTGGATAGAAAGGATAACTTTTATGCATGAAAAGGGTCACTTTCATGCATAAAAAGGTTTACTTTGTAGCATAAAAAGGGTTACTTTTGTGGGTAGAAATAATAAGTTTATACATGATAAGGTATACTTTTGTGGGTAGATAGTGTAACTTTTATGCATGAAAAGGGTAACTTTTATTGATAAAAGGGTTAACTTTTATTAATAGAAAGGGTAACTATTGCCAAAGAAAAGGTTGATTTAGTGGATAGAAAGGATAACTTTTATGCATGAAAAGGGTAACTTTTATGCATGAAAAGGGTCACTTTTATGCATGAAAAGGGTCACTTTTATGCATGAAAAGGGTCACTTTTATGCATGAAAAGGGTTACTTTTATACGTTAAAAGGGTAACATAAGTTGATGTGTTCCAATAATTAAACATGTGCTAATAAAAGTGTCAATCACATTTTCATTAAACTAGTCATAGAGTAAAAAAAACAAAAGAAAAATAGTTTAACAATACAAGGTATATTAATTTCGAAAAAAAAAATGTTCTAAAAAAGATCTTAAAAGAGTCGTAAGTTAGGTGTCTTTGATCCAAATTCTGAATTTGGAGGTGGCAGTGCTGGTTTTCTTTTTCTCTTGCTTTTTTCAAGTCCTCCTTTTGCTCTCTTGCTTCTTCCTTTTGTTACAGCCCTTTTAGGATCAAGAATTATTGGTACACATGTGCTTGTACTCGATGCTGAAGAAGCGTCAGTATTGCTTTGAGTGTTGTCTGCCACATCAGGAATGTTAGAAGCAGCTTCTGCACTTTCTTTCTGAGCAGCACTAGCAAGTAAGTCTTCCACTATTTTAAGACTGTTTCTGAAGCTTTCTTCCATAAATGCTCTTGTCTCTTCATTTTCTTGACTTTTTAAGATTAGATTGTAGTATTTCCTCATCATTGTTTGCCTCCATGGAATATATTGCTGTTTAGGATCCTGATTCTTCAACCTATCCCATGCCTCTGTTTTTGCAAACTTAGTCCATCTTTTTGAAACATACTTGTCTGGTATTCTTGTTACTGAATGCAAATGTAGAATTCTGATGCAATGATAACATAACCATCCAGATGCTTCAAAGTTTTTGCAAGTACACCATACAGTTTGGCTCTCTTGTATATAGTTTACTTGATGTGCAGACCATGGCTTGTCTTCTAGTGTTACTTGATAAAGTAGGCATTCTTCATTACTGCCTAACATTTGAACAGTTCTTTCCATAGAGTATCCAAACTCCTCTTCAAAATTTCTAAAGAGTGATAAAGTGAAAACCTGTACATCAAAATCATGTAGCTTCATTTAAATTGCCATATATTAGGTGTAATTTATGTACTTGTCAGTTAACTTTTTACCTGTGCGGCATGCTTTAGCATTCCAGATAGAGGCAATGAAGTGAATGCTATTGACTTGCTACAGGTAAACTCATCATATTTCTCTGTGCTTCTCCAACGATTAGTTGTCTTCTTAAATATGGTATAAAATTCTGTCAAAGTAGTTTCTTTACTTGCTCTGAATCCTATGGCATGATTAGTGCTTTCACTCCTTTGTGACGATAAGATCCCTGCTGAAAAGAAATCTCTACAAAGGGCAGGACACCATTTGTCTTTCAACTCATACACTCTTTTGTACCAAGAGTGTTCTGTCAACTCATATTTTTGCAACATTGCTTGCCACTTTGCTTCGAATTCTTGTTCTGTCACACACATCTTTAAGCACTGGTTGAATGCAAATTTGAATTCTTTGTCTTTTTTAAGAGCTCCAAATCTGGTTATGGCATTTTGCTCCAAATGCCATATACAAAGTCTATGTCTTGTATTAGGAATCACCTGCATTGAAAATAAAGGGGTCACTTTATGCTGTTAAAAGGGTTACTTTATGCACTAAAAAGGGTAACTTTATGCAGCTAAAAGGGTAACTTTATGTGAAAAAGGAAAACTTTATTGTCATAGCTCAAATCTGTAAGATGTCAATATAAATCTTTTACCTCCAGTATAGCATTTGCCATTGCTTGGTCCTGGTCAGTGAATATTGAAGTTGGTTTTCTATCCTCCATAGCTTTGAAGAAGGTTTGTAGTAACCACACAAATGAATCGGTCGTTTCATCCCCAATAAAAGCACAAGCAAACATACAATTATGCCAGTGGTTATTTATGCCAACAAATGGAGCACATATAAGATTATATCTGTTGGTTCTGTATGTTGTATCAAAGACAAGAACATCTCCATATATCCTATAGTCTTCTAGCATCATTGAATCTCTCCAAAAGATATTGCAAATTCTTCCTTCTTTGTCAAACTTCACTCTAAAAAAGAAGTTTGGATCCTCTGATTGTTCCTGACTTAAAATGTTCACTAAAGTTTGAGCATCTCCAGCCTCAATTTGTTCCATTCTTAACCTTGAGCAGAAATTCAGGTGATCTACAACACTATGGCCTATATTCTGTTCTCCTCCAGCCTCTGTAGCCATGTAATTGTAAGTGTCCATTGTAGTTAGACCTAAAGATTTCATTGTTTTGATTGTTACAACTTTTTCCTCTGTCATTTTTCTTTCAGAACGATGCAAATAATGCCACTGTGGCTTTGTTAGCTCGTGGTTATGCTGAATAACATGAGCCACCACCTCAAACTGTCCTTCTTTATTCACTTTTGCTCTTATGCATGCCTTGCAATTTGATCTTGTAATGGATACTTGTCTTGGCTTTCTTGTTTTTACATTTACATCCTCTTCATCAACCATTTCAACTAACTTTGTTTTCTTCTGACCTGAATGTCTCTTTCCCTCAGCAGAACACACATAGTTTTTTCTCAGTTACTATTTTTGTGTGTTGTTTGAATCTAGTTGTATGTTTTCTTATTGAAAACCCCAGTATAGCAGCATGTTTTTCATACAATTCCAAAATTTCTTCAAAAGTTTCTCTTACCACACCAACAAATGATCCTCTAAGATCTAAACCATAAGCATCAATTGGATTTGTATCTGTTATTTAATACAAACAAATCAGATAATAACCACAGGCAGCATAAAAAAAAGGGTAACATTCGTTTGAAAATAGGGTAACTTTTATGCATGAAAAAGGTAACATTTAGGCATTGAAAGGGTTACTTTTTGCATACAATCTGAATTTTCAGCATACAATCTGAGTGTAACATTTGAGCATAAATAGGGTAACTTTTATGCATGAAAAAGGTAACATTTAGGCATTCAAAGGGTTACTTTTTGCATACAATCTGAATTTTCAGCATACAATCTGAGTGTAACATTTGAGCATAAATAGGGTCACTTTTAAGCATGAAAAGGGTAACATTTAGGCATTCAAAGGGTTACTTTTTGCATGCAATCTAAAAAGTTCTGCATTAAATATGAGGGTAACATTTAGGCATAAGTATGGTCACGTTTATGCATGAAAAGGGTAACAATTATGTATTCAAAGGGTTACTTTATGCATACAATCTCAAAAATTCATAGAAATTACCTTCAGTTGCATCTGATTTGGTTGTTTGTTCTGAATTTGAATCAATTGATTTATTAGGAACCACTTGATTTTCTGCATTGTGAATTGCGTCTTCTGCATTCTCAATTGCTTCATCTGCATTATCGATTGCTTCATCTGCATTGTCTGGATTGTTGAATATTGGTACGAATTCATCTCCAAAACAATTAGTTTCTTCTTCTTCTATAATCGATCGATTTAAATCGATTTCAAATTCAGTCTCAATTTGCCTCTGTTTTTGTAGCAATTCGTGAATGAGATTTCTGCAATTTGTTGTATCGAAAGTCGAATTCTCCATTGATGATCGAATTCTGCAATTTGTAAGTTTTCTCACTTTCTTTGTCTTAATTGATGATCGAATTCTTCTATTTGTGCGTTTTCTCACCTTTTTTTTTCTCCTCGATTGATGATCGATTTCTGCAATTTTTGCGTTTTCTAACCTTTTTTCTCCTCGATTGATGATCGTTTTCTGCAATTTTTGCGATTTCTCACTTTCTCTCTCCTCAATGGATGATTGATAGCTGCTTTTCTCACTTTCTCTCTCCTCCATTGTTGTTCTGCGTTTTTTTTATTTTTAGGTATTTGAAATTCTGCGATTTTTTTTTTTTTAAAAAAAGCACGTGCGAAAACCCGATGTACAGTAAAAATACTGTACACCGGGTACATGCAAATGGGATTGTTTAATTTATTCATTATTTGAAAAAGTAAACAAATAGCGCCCATCATTTGATTTTTGAAACCCTAATTACTTTTTATTATTTTTTTTTTCCTTTTCAGGGTCTTGTTTCAACACGCTACCAGTTACGCGATTTGACTCAGTTCAACCTTTCAAGGTCCCAAATAATTTCTTGTGATTTTGAGATTCTGGGTATTTTCCGATTCTTAAATCTATTGTTTAATTTCCTCCAAATTACGTGGGTTTTTGATTGCTTTAAGATTGGTTAATGAATTTTGATGGGCTGGAAAGTGCATAAATGTAATACTTGGTGCGATTTAGAAGCAAGTTTTGAGCTGTGAATTTGTTGAGTTTTTGGGAATTGTTAGAAATTCTATAATTTTGTGGTGTTTTTGCATAATTTGTTGTTGATTGGAGGTGAGTGAACGTATGTACATATTAAATTGAGCGTTCAATTTAGCTGTGTCATTGATACACCAATGGGGTGTGTAAGTAGTAAGCCCAAGGCTGTGGAAGATGGTGGTGGGAGTCCTAGGCAGAGAGTACCGAGTAAGAGACTGTCTCGAACGACGTCTTCGAGTAGAGAAGGAGGTCCCCAAATGATGAGCAGAAGTGATAGTAGAACGTCTTTGATTGATAGAAAAGCAAACACTTCGATTCGATTATGTGAGGACCGTTCTGAGAAGAGTAGACTGAAACCTGAAGATGTTTTGGTGCATCAATCAGATATTATCGTAGTTCCTAAAGCTTGGGAAGGTGAGCAGGTTGCTGCTGGTTGGCCTTCTTGGCTTGCTAAGGCGGCTGGCGAAGCTGTCTTAGGTTGGATTCCTCGGCGTGCAGATTCTTTCGAGAGATTGAACAAAGTATGTGCCTTCTTTCCAATTTACTCGCGTTTCTACTTTCTTAATGTCCCCCTTACAACTATTTAAGAACTTTGATGTTCCTAAGTCATTATTGTGTATTTGTATACTTATAAAGTTGTAAGTAGTGGACCAGTGACTCTTCTTCATTTGGTTAGTTTTGTGATATAAATTAAGAAGAGATACCTAAAGGGAATAATTCAGGCTAGTTAGCATGGAGACTTACAAAAGATCTTATTTGGTTTCCATGTCTTTATCTCTAAAACTCTAGATGTTTTAAGCTAAGCCGAGATAAAGCTTTGATTTCGAGTGGTGCCTTGAGCTTTTTTGAACTTAAATTCTCAACATCGACCTACATTAAAATTCAACTTGAGTTTTTAATCTTTTTTGTTATGTTAGCTCATATAACTACATTTTTGCTATTGCTTTTGGATTTCTTAAGAATATTGTAACAATATTTACTATTTATTTTAGGTGAGCTGTTATAATATGTAAAATAAATACTTATAACGTAATTCTAAGCTTTTTAATCCTGTGAATGAGTTTTTCAAGTCAAGCAATTGTGTCTTGTAATATTTTTGAGCCGTTTAGGAGCTAGTTAGGATCATAAATGCCCCTAAGTTTAGACAGATGGCTAATATTTTTTATGTGTATCTGCTTGAAAATTTTGTAATTGGATTGGACCTAAGGTGAAATCGATGGCAAATATCAACTACCTGCCATTGTATTAAATCTTAGCCTTATCAACACATTGCGATCATTGTAAAGGAATTTGAGCATACTGCGACACATATATTAGGTTGCAACTACCACATTCCACCCACATTGCGCAAAAGTGGTTATGTGGCTGTTACTGTGATCGCGACCGCATTTGAAATTTAACACCATGCTACTTGCTTCTTACAATTTTTCTTGTGTCATGATGATAATACGAGTGTGATGACTATTATCTTGTGCTAACTTTTGTTGCAACCATTTCAATTACATTTAGTATCAATATTGGTGAGATAATCATGGACTAAAAATTATCTTCTCACGTTTCTCTCACACCCCACTAAGATTGACCCATGTCACTCTTTTTATTTCTTGTGGTTGCTCATGGGGCGGGGGGGGGGGGGTTTAGGCGGAAATGCTTATTGGTTTTCGTGATGTTTGACATCACGCGGAACAAAACCCTCCCAAAAACCGCATACAAATTAAAGTAACTAAACATGCATATTAATTAATAACCACCCATTAATTGTCAAAGAGAGAGAAAGAGGAAAAGACTGTCATACCCTTGATGCGTGCTTCGCTCTTTCTTAGAGCTCTAACTTGAAAGCGTAGTGCCCCGCAAATGCGCAAGGCTCCAACGTTTCACACCCTCGAGACCCGACTCGAACGGCCCCTACCCTAAAGCTTAGTCGGGGCTAGCCAAGAAAAATACTAGATTATTACAAACTTAAAGGTTTTCTCACGGGGAGATGCTTATTGAGTTCAACTCAAGTGTATAATCCTAGTTCCTAAAGTTGGTATATATAGGCAAGGCTCCTAAAAAGGCAAAAAGTTCAATCATCTTTCCATGTGTGATAAATGATAGAGTGAGAAAAGTAAGTTATTAAATATCAAGATAAATAGTCAAACATTACTTTGCATACATGGGAGGGGTTAGGTGAGGAGACTAAGGACCACAAGGGGAGGACCACTTTCCCCTTGCTCCCCAAGCAACCCGTGAAAACTGGCTCCCCACTTCGGCCAACGAGGGCGTGCCACGGTGGCACCCAGGCACCAAGGCGCGCCATGCTCGATTGGCTGCTAGTGTGCCCGCATGCTTGTGCGGCCCAGCAGGCACGCCTCACATGCTTGTGCGGCCCAGCAGGTACGCCTCGCATGCTTGGGGGCTGCTACTGCTGGGCACGACATGCTTAGCGAGGCCCCCGACCAAGCCCAACAAGCTTGCCGGAATGTCGGGTGCCTAATGCTAGCTAGCTGTGGTAGTGAGCTAGCAGCAGCTGGTTGGCCATGTTGGCCATGCCTTGCACGCAAGGCTCACTCGGCGAGCATGCTCGGCCATGCAACTTGCATTCGAGCCTTGCCTTGCTGCCATGGCTCTAGCTATCCATGCTAGCCATCCTAGCCCTCAATTGGCTAGGCCATTTGAGGCTAGGTTTCGTCCGCGCTATGACGGGCCTGATCTCATTACTAAAATGAGCTGAACTGAATTGAATATTTTATAAGAGAAGGAAATTAGGAGCTGAACTAAGCTGAGCTTAATTGAGCTGAACTGAACTGAATTTCAACGTAAGAGAACAGACCCTTAATGTTTGCTAGATTTCTCGTCTCGTCGATTCATAAAGTCGACTCGACTTATGACGCCTGGTTTCGACGCTCTAAGCTCGAAATCCGACGTCTTTGTTCGTAATACTCTTATGACTCATTTAATCTTTTGGATTAATTTGTGGTTTCGGTTTGGTTACTCGATTGAGTGTGACTCGGGTTTAGCCAAGATTAAACTGAAATACTAATTAAGCGGCCTCCAGCTAGGCATTCATTAATAATTATCTTTCTAATAATTCCAAACCCTCTATCGGAATAATACACTTGTTCGAAGGACACCATTCCTTTCAACGTTATCATAGGAATGGGGCAAACTCAATGGGACATCCATACCTTTATCTCAAGATTAAAACAGTAGGTTCATATAAATTTGAGTAGGAATTTATATTTTTACTACTACAAATGAGTTCTAGTAACTTTAATTTAGGCCCTATTCTTTAAAATTATTTTTATTGATTAAAACTTATTTTTACTGATATTATATTATATTTGTTCTTTAATGTTACTGATTTTTACTTGCTTTATTTAACTAATCTAATTTTAACTAATTTTTGTTGAACTTATATATTTTGAACTTAGCTTAGTTTTATTGAAATTATTTTAGCGAATTTAAATTATTTTTGATGTTTAATATTTCAATATGGGTAAGAGAATAAGTCCAGTGAGATAAAGGTTTTCACGTGGAAAAATTGAAGCCGGATACATTTTCAAATTCGTGCACAAATTTTATCCTCAAGTAATTTTCCTGATCCCAGCAGTACAAACCTTTAGACATGACTCTTTTCACACTTCCTAGAAAAATTTAAATTATTGTGGCTCGAGTTTCTCTATGACTATTACTTGGGGATTTAATTTACTACTTTAGAAGCTAATTAATATCTCATGTGTTAACTATGTAGAGACGCTCGTGACGTGAATTTTTAGGGTTTCTTGAATATTTTGTCCTGCTTGCAAAGCAAAGCTATACAGGACAAAGTCTTTTGCTCATATAGTCTTATTACGGAGAAAACTTAATTGTCTATTAGTCTTTTACTCTTATAGTCTTATTGCGGAGAAAACTTTATTGTCTATTATTAACTACTCTTCTTTTTTCCTTATAATTTTACGTCAATGTTAAAAATTGTGTTTGTTGCTCTGTAATTTGCTACTCTATAATTAAATCTAGAATACTACCTTCATTAATTATACATAAGTAAATTACAGTGGTTGGATTATGCATATTTAGTTAAGGTATATTTGTATCTATTCTTGCAGATTGGGGAGGGAACTTATAGTAGTGTCTACAAGGCACGGGATCTTATTAATGGCAAGATCGTTGCCTTAAAAAGAGTGAGATTTGATAATCTCGATCAGGAGAGTGTAAAGTTCATGTCAAGAGAAATCCTTATACTACGTAGACTTGATCACCCTAATGTAATTAAATTGGAAGGCCTAATTGCATCTGCT